GTTATATTGTACACTATATCATTGATTTACTACCATCAAAATAGTAAAATAACAAAATCAGTCACATGAATAAATCTTGTTTCTGATTGGCTAATTTATATGTTAGTCACATGAGTGTATTTATAGAGGTATTTTAATTATATCCAGAACTTAAAATTATTTGCACGTGTAGAATATGGAGGATGTGCATTTAGTACTAAATCCTAAGCTTGAAATCGAGCTATAATGTACATATAAAGAGGATGTGTATTTATAGAGCGTGCATTTATAGAAGTGTTACTGTACTGGTGTTTTTATGAATAACCAAACTGACTTACTCGCTAAAGAAGGAAAAATCCTTCCTCAAATCTTACCAATTATCACAAGAATTAGCTCAAGAAATCTTGTCATACTTTTTGACAATGTTCTGATTGAATCCTTAATACACAAGTTCTTCAAGAAATTTTTTCAACAAAAGCTTTTAGAGATTTTCTGATATTATTAAGAAATAACTCAATGAGACTTCTGATATACAACTTATTTATTTATTAGATCAGTATTTAAAATATTCTCTCATTTGACTCATCATCACTTATCACCACTTTTACATCTATTAGGCTTAAAACCTTCATATTTAAAATTTTTAGGCAAACTTCCTGTTTTGAAAAAAACAGTTCAGATTTCTTCCTGATTTATATAAGGATTGAAAATGCGTTAGTTGTAACAATGCTATAGAATTCACTTCACATTTATAGTGTTTTCCGACATATTCACTAAAGATAATATCAGTTATCAATTCCACTAAAAATATATTTTGGTTCTCCTTGATAATTAATCCATCAATTCTTCTATAATAGCTAAAATTTTCTCTATTTTGACTAAATTTTTGATCTATCTTCTGATCCTAGTCTTTTCTCAGTTATGAAAGTTTTGATACCTATTTTCTTAGTATCTGTAATTCATAAAGTTATGCGAAGCAGAAATAAATGCGTCAAAATTATTACAAAACTCTTTATATTTTTCTATTAGAAAATGAATGAAAAATTTGGAAACTTCATTGCAAACTTATGGTTGTCAAAGAGCAATTTTTAGATATATCACTAAAAAAACAAACATTTGTGTGATGTTAGCAAATTTTTAAATCAATAATAATAAATCAATTCAAATAAATTTGTAATATAATTATGTAGGATAACTAGTACTTATATATAGATTTTTAAATTTTAAATTTTATTTATTATATAAATATAATAAAGGTAGTGTCATATCGTTAAAAAAATATATTTTTTATATAATACGCAATGATTTTATTTATTGATTTTTTGCTGATCTACTGATCTGATTTTGGTAAATTTTAGCTTATTAGAATTATTACACAAGGAGAATCAGAATCCAACATTGGTTTTTGAGTAGCCAGCCTACTGAAATTTTTTTACACTCAAATTTCATTAAGTAACAAATTTTGATATACTATAAAATAAATTTTAGTTTTATTTATATTATATCATGTGATTTTTTTAAATTTTGATATAGGTTATCATATTTTTTTTATTTATTTTTAATAATATCACAAGATTTTTCATCATAAGATTTTGTTGAGATTTTTGTTTATTTTTTTTTATTTAAATATATATAATTTTTTAATTTTTTTTCCTCAATTTTTTACAAAATTATTCACAAAAATTTTTTTATCTCACAATGAAAGCAACTTTATCTACTATACACAAATGTTATTAGTAATTTTTGTGATAATAATTATTTTTTACAACATTTCAAATAATAAATATTATAAAAAATTTTATAGAAAATTAAAGTTTGCAAGAAGCAAAAGTAATATCAATCAATATTAATACTAAAGATAAGGAACGAAATTCAAAATAGGCAAATAATAAACAGCTGAAATTATATTAAAATATAGTGAGAAGTATGACGAAACCCTAAAATCTAAAATTAGCCAAAACTATATTAAAAACATAGTAAGAAATATAATGAAATTATTTTGAGAGAGTTTCAGCTTATATTTTTAATTAATACTAATATCAATGTTAACGCTTAGTCAATGCTAATACTAATGTTAGTACTAATGTCAATAATACTAACCTCTATTAAAAAACTAATAGAATGATATATTTCTGTTAAAAAAATTCAAAAAGTATTTTAAATAGACAAAATAACGTATCAAAACATTTGGTAAGAATAAATAAATTATAAATATTATATTATTTATATTATTTATTTTTATTTTTTAATTATATTTATTTTATTTAAATTCTTTAAAGTAAATATATTAAAAATATAATAATTTTATGTTTATTCATACAAAAATATTAAAAAGACATTCTTTTGATGAAACTATTTTTTTAAAAAAAAATGAAAGTTGGTTATATCTAAATATTTGAATTGATCTAACCTATTTAAAAAAGGATATTTTTTTTGTTTTACTAGTTTAATAATATTTATTTTAATAAAAATAATTCAATTCAATTATAATTATAAAAGTAATATAATTAATATAAAATTAACATTATTTAATATATTTAATATATTTTTAAAAAATATAAAAAACATTAATACTTTTTTACATTTTATTATTTTAGTAAAATTTTCAAAAAAAGATAAAAAGATTATTAATATAATAATATTTTATAAAAAATTTTATCATTTATTAACTGCAGAATTTAAATTATAAGTTATAATAAATCTATAATTAGTTAACTGCTAATACAATTATAAAAAATGGTTATAACTTTACAACTTTTAATTTTAATCATAATAAAAATTTATATATACATATTTAAAACTTGTTAAATAACTTAAATTAAGTATTCAAAGTTGATTTCATTTGATCAAAATGCTTAAATTACTCTTTAAAGTCATTACAAATAAAATAAAGATAAAAAAATTTATGAAATAATACAATTATTAAAAATATTATAATTTTATAATTATTAATTCACATTATAATAAAAATTTATATACATATATTTTTTAATCTGCTAAATAACTTTATTTAGATATTTAAATTAATTTTTTGATCAAAGTGTTTAAATACCTTTTAAAATAATTGAATAGATAAAAAAAATTAAAAATAATTTGTTGGTTAATATAATTACAAAAAATGTTTAAAATTTAAAATTTAATTTTTTGATTATAATAAATTATATAAATTATAAAGTAATTATACAAACAATTTTAAAATATAAAAAAAAAATATGTTTAAATAAAAATTAAAGATGTTTTAAAAAAAAATAAAAAATTTTTATTTTTTTATTAATTTGATTAGTTGACTTGAATTTTATTAGATTAGGTCATAAGTTTATCCTAATTTGATATTGACTTAAAATTTATCTATATGATCTGAATTTTTTAGATAGTCAGATTAGATTATAGATTAATATGATTGATTTAGAGTTCTAATTGTTTCTTTAATAATTATCATTATTTTATATTAAATATTATAGAAAATAAATATAAAATAAATCTATATTAGTTTTTTTTAAAAAATAATTAAAAATAAGCAAATAATCACCTTTTTTTCTAAAAAAATAAGGTTAATTTATATTGATTTTTGAAATTTATTAAAAAAAATTCTTATTAAAAAACTAGAACTATTTTTTTTAAAAAAATTCTTTTAAAAGAATTTTCATTAAAAGCCTTTTTTATTATTATTTTTTAATAAAAGATTTTATCATTTCTTTTTTTTTTGATAATTTTATGTTAAATAAAAAGTATTATAAATAATAGTATATTTATGAATATGTTATCATTTATTATAAATATTTTGACTTTTTTATAATAAAAAATTAATTATAAACATAATTTAGAAGATAATAATTTATTATTAAAAATCTGATTAATAAAAATATCATTTTTTGATTAAAATAATAATTTCAATTTTAATAAAGAAAGATACTTTATATTTACAGTAGATATTAAAGATACAAAGATTAAATTATTTAATTCATCATCATAAAGAACATTAAAAATTCAGATGATTTTTATTATAAAACACAACACAACTGCAGGCAGAAAATAGAAAGTGCGCCATATGCTGTGAAATACGCCGAAAAAAGCGAAAAAAGGCAAATGATTGATCGTCATACATAAGCTTAAAAGAAAACCATAAATAAAAAGCACGATGAATTTATAGACATGTCAAATGATCAATTTGACCGATCGATCAACAGGTTTTATTAAAGTAAATAATTCATTCTGTGAAATGCTTTGAATTAAATAATTTTGTCATTTTGGCATTTGTATACATCCATACGAAAATAAATCCCGAAACTCGGGTATTAATCATAATGAAGGCTTGAGAAATCATTTGATATTAAGTTTGGACAACGTTCATCCTTGAAATAGATTAATTGATAATCTTATCGTACAATTGACAAATAACAGCTATGCATTTTTTTTGTTTGCGATTTTTCTCAAAAGGTCATAATTTAAGAAAAACCTCGATTTAGCAAACCTGATACTCAAGTTTACCAAACATTGTATTATTGGAGATAGTAGTATTGTATTTTTGAAAGCTCTCCAGAAAATAAATAGGTAAAACCCAAAGTTAAAAACATTTTTTTTTATTTTTTATTTTTAAATTAGACCATTTATGACAATGCTGTTGCACATTTTTCACGGTGAAGTTGTTACAAAAACGAATTTGTTCTTTCAGATCATCATTTCGCTTTAAGAAACCGGCCTAAACCATATATATATAGCCTGATCCACATAAATGATGTAATTACTAATCTGCGGTTATTAACTTTTATGGTCAAGGCGCATGTTATTTTTAAAAGTGAAAAAAACTATATAAGGATCACTACATTTTACGGAAATCTTCACCCATCAAGTCAAGATGATTCATAACATATTTAGAATTTTAAGACCAATTCAATTTATTATTTTAATAATAATAATCGGTTTGGGTATGAAATTTAATGATTTTCACTAAGAAGTTTCTTGATTTATAATATTTACAAACCTTTTCTTTTTTTTTTGGCTAAATAACAGAAATAACTCAAATGGTAGGATTTGGCACTACTAGAAATTCGTTTGAATTTCCCAATGAACCCGATTCAGCACCTTCATCTTCAAAAGTATCATGGTCCACTTATTTTGAAGATATGAACGAGTAAGAAAATCAATTCTAAAACTCCGACTAAAGAACAAATAAAATCAATAATTTAAAATTTTTATTTTATTTATGTTAGTCGGCATGGAATTAAAATATTCTATTATATTGTGATTCCAGCAACACTGTTCTGTCCACGTAAGTCTCTTTAGATTTAACGAGGAAGTTTTTATTTACTAAATTATTAATAATTATTATTTGACCATCAGAATTTTTTTGGAAAAGATTTGGCAGAGCAAAAATTTTAACTCGAGACAAATACTATGAATAGTAAGTATGAATTCTCTTTTAAAAAAAAAAACATATAAAATACCTAAATTCACCATTTTTTTCTTGTAGTTTTTATTTAACCTTATGGATTATAGTCAGTAAGTTTTGTTTTATTGAGTAATTATTTCATGTAAAAGATGATAAAATAACGATGGCTCCAAATTTTTTTAGGCTTCTCAAATCTATTTCCAGTATTTGAAGAGGCGAATTTAAATTGTAATGGTGATAAATGGCGGGCCCAAGCTTACAGATGCAAAGCTTACATTTCAAGTACATTTTTTTGTTTTATTATGACATTAACTTGGATTATTTCTACCGTTTCATTAATTAAGTATTTGCGTACAAATAAAGAAGAGATAGCTAATAATAATAAAGAAGTTGAGGATGGAAATGTTTAAATTAAAAATCACAAACAATCCAACTTCGGAAATTTTTATTCAATTTCTGCTATGAATAAATTTTTTGTATAAATACACTTTTTATCTTTAATCGTTATCAAAATGACTTTAATCGTTATCAAAATGAAAAAAAAAGGTTGAAAGCACACATAAAAAGAAGAAACGTGTGACATCGTTTCACTGCATACATCTCTTCGATAAAATTTTGAACTCAATGTAATAGTTTATTTCGTAGTATGCATAAAAAGCATAAAAAAATATATAAAAAATATAAATTCCCTACTTCAAGATAACAAAAATATTTATAAACGAAATTCTCTTCGGATTAATTTATATTACAATTTATTCTAGTTATAATTCCATTAAAACAACATCATATCAAATATATATAATAATAAATTAACTGGGTGATGAACATTTTGAACAAATTGATTACGAAAGCTAACCATAGTAATAAAAAGATGCTATGTTCAAGATAATTATTTAAAATTAGTAAATGCGAATTTGATGTATCGAGAATAAATTACACATACATCTCGAAAAAATTAATCTTTTTATGAGGTCCGATTTTCCATTAACGAGTAAAAAGTAATCAGTTTTATCACTTTTAAAACAAATCAATTTTTAAAAATATTTTTTTATTGAAAAAAAAACAATAAAAGTATACAACCGAGTTTGTACTGCCGACTATAAAATAATGTAAATGTTATAACGAAATAGTAAAAATATTTTAATCCATGTCTAAATTTAAAGCAAATTAAAAAAAAATCTCTTTCTATTATTGGAATGAAAAAATTTATTAAGTAATTTTACTTGTAAAAATTCTTCGAACCATTCTTTCCATGATATAGGTATCTCTTTAAAATTATACCCATTAAATAGTATTAATTGGGTTATTTCTATTATAAGATGAGAGTTTAAAAAAAGATTTTCAAATAAAATCAATAAATTGTTTTAGAAAATGTTTTTTACTAATAGTAATAATTAGGTTTGAAAATAAATAAATATAATTTTTTTTATTCTAATTGATGTTCAAATTGTTCAAACATTTTCAAAATTAATAATAATTTATTTTCATTATTATTAACAAATAAATCCTTCTCATTCATTATTTTACTTATAAAATAAAGAATATAAATTCTCTTTTCTCATTTCACAAAAAAAATCATAAAAACATATAGAGTCATTACATCTATTTTTGGCTTAAGCTATTACTAGTTATAAACCCATAAAGTTAACTTCTAAAATCTAATAACTCACATCACACATGAACAAATTCAGCCAATCAAAACAATTAATTACTAGATGTTTTTATAATATTTATCCAAATTTTGAAATTATACAGTTAATATAATAAATATGTTATTAGTTCAAAGTGTAACAAAGGGCTATATAATCCTATAACTGATAATACAAGATGTCCTGCTCAAAAATACATGATTAGTTTTTTATTACACATAAGCTTCAGACCAGAAATGATGATTTTATACTGCAATAAATCGTTAATTATGCATGCAGTAAAAACAAAATATGCATTTTAATAGTATAATTTTTGCAATTATCAGTAGTCATAACATAGGAGAACTTTCCAATGATTGACCAAAAATAATCAATTTAATCAACTATTATTTATATACTTTAGAGTACTTTTTAGAAAATAAGATCATACATAAAAAAAATGTCATTTAGATTCTTAACTACTTAAGAAAATAATCTTTTTTTAGAAAGTTTACTTAAATGCTATATTTGCTATAATGATTAAATTAACAGAATCTTGTATTATTAAAGTTTGCACTAAGGCTTCTAATATTTGGAAAAAAGTTACAATAACTATGTTTGAAAGAGTAAAGGAATATAAAACACTTCCTGAATATGTTAAGGAAAATGAAACTATATATTATAACTGTTATAATACAATATTAATTAATAAATCCTTTACATAATAGATAATTTGTTAAAAAAAGCAATTATTATACATATTTGAAGAATTCTGCATAGTAATAAAATCTGAAGATAAATTTTTGAAGAGTTTTTTTTGATGAACTATAATTATCAATATATACATCATCAAAAAGATGAAACGTGGATAAAAATATCTAAACAATTAGTATTTCTATGTTATTTTCTTTGTGGTATTTGAGATAAATATATTGTTAATATATAAGATTCTGCAATTCAATTTGATATTTGAATACTTGATTTGAAAATCAAATCAAATACAATTCAAATTTATATTTGATTCGATTTGATTAAATTCAAATAAAAGAATGATTTATTTGATAAATCTAAATTAATGTTTGATTTGATTTGAATCAATAGTAAAGTCATCTTCAAAGCTTTAGGAGTAGCTCTTACTAAGAAAAAGTACTCCTATAGCTTTAAAGATATTATTTTACTAAAAAATATAGTAAAAAATGCTTCTGCAGTTTTGAAGATGTTATTTTACTAAAAAATATAGTAAAAAATACTTTTACAGCTTTAGAGATATTTTTTACTAAGAAACCTAGTAAAAAAATGCATCTGCAGCTTTAGAAATATTTTTTTACTAATAAAATAGTTACAAAGTTAAGATGGCGTTATTACTAAATTTTCTTAGTAAATAGATGCTATTGTTATCTTATAATACTAACGACTGAAAATTAGTATTGATGCAAGGTTAACAAAGGATTTAGCTTTAAGACTTTATAATACGATTTATGGAGAGCTTCTGAAGGTTTATCGATCAAATGTATTTTAAAGACAAAGTATAATTTGTGGTTAAGTTTTATTAAAGAAAAGAATTATTACAAATGTATTTGTTTGCATACAAGTATTTTAGTAATTATTTTGTTAACGATAAAACTAAGTAAATTCTCTGTTGTTTATGAAGTTCTAAAGCTACCTTATTTATAAGAAATTTGATAATATAAATAAATAAAATAAAGAAATATAAGATATGTAATTGATTATTAATATTAATTAATTATTAATAAAAAAGAAGATTCTGGCGTCATCTAGGTTTCTGCATAACCTTTACTTTTAAGATATCTGCCATTTCTCAGATATCTGGCATATATTATATTTCTGGCATATCGTGCAGAACTGATGCATTTCAAAGATCTGCTAGAATTGGCAGATATGGCAGATACTTGGCGTAATGTATCAGGTGATTTATTTTGTTATCATATGATTTACGGTTGACTCTTCTATTACAATATCGGTTCATCATATTTTGGGTCAATTTGTGCCAGTAAACTATCAAATTTCAACTCGACCAAATGCAAAAGAATATTTGACCATCAATCCCATTAATAGAAAATACCTCTATAAATGCAATTTTCTTTGTATTTTATTTTTTTATTGATAAAATTAATAATGTCCAAATTTATCAAATAAATCTGATTATTCCAATCTTCTATAAATAAAATATGTTAAAGTTTGGCCAATTCATATTCCAATTGGCTATAAATCGGATGGTTGAATTTTGACTGATATTTAATGTATTCCAATCGGCATAGGTTGAATTTTGGCTGATTTTAATATATATCAATCGGCTAAAAATTGGACGGGCAAATTTTGGTCGATTCTTGATATATATCAAATCGGCTATAAATCAAATAGCTTGATTTTGGCTGATTTTTGATGATATCTGATTTTAGGCTGATTTTAGGCCGATTTATTACATAGCTGATTTTTTTGATTTCGACCAGTGTATTAAATGATAAAAAAATCATCCCTTTAGAATGATGAATCATCATTTTTATTGAAAGATAAAAAAAATCATTCCTTTTAGATGATAAATCATCGTTCTTAATGAACTATTTAAGAAATCATTCCAAAGAGACAATAAATTGATTGTTTATTAAGAACAATTAAAAAAATTATCACAAAGAGATAATGAATTATCATTCTTATTGAATGATTTAAAAATTATTCTAAAAGGATGATGAATCATTGTTCTTATTGAAAAATCAAAAAAATTATCCCAAAGAAATGATAAATCATCATTCAATTAAAAAAATTATCCTTTTGGGATAATAAAAAATTGTTCCTTTTGGAATGATGATCATTCTATAAAAATGATAATAATCGTTCCTTTTAGAATAATAATAGTTCTATAAGAATGATAAAATGTTATTTCTTTTAGAATGAAGATTATTCTTTTGAATGTTTCAATATCATTCTAATCAGATAATGCAAAATCGTCTGATTAGAATAATTAAACTATTATTCCTTTAGGATGATACACTATCATTCAAATCAACATCATTATTCTAATCGAATAATAAAAAGTAATCCAATTGGAATGATTAAATTATCATTCCTTAAGGTAGTGATTAATATTTTTAATGTTCCAGATATTTGTTGTCCCAACTATATGTCCTAGCTATATGTCTCAATATGTTCTATACTATATTCCAACTGTCCTAAATGTCACATCTGTGTTCTATATATGTCCTAACTATGTCTTGTGACAATACTATCCTAAGGGATGTACAAATCATTCAATAGAAATAATGTTTCAATTGGATAATATAATCATTCAATTGGCTAAAACAATTATGAATAAATTTCAGATTAATCAAAAACTTTTGGATTAATCCAAAAAAAAAATTTCCTTTTTTATAACCTTTTTTCTTTCTTTTTTCTATATTTTTTTTTTCTTATCTTGAAGATTTTTACCATTTTTTTAAGAAATTTCTCAATTTGTAAATATGGTAAATCATTCTTTAGGTGAAAATTTACTATTTTCCTTATTTTTTCTTGTTTTATTTTTTTTAGAAAAATTTCATTTTAAAAATAAGTAAATCAGAAATAAGTTTTTGAATGGATTTTCCTTTCTTTTTCTTATTTTTGTAGGAAAATTCTCATTTAAAAATAAGATAAGTTAATGAGAAGTACGTTTTAAGGTGAATTTTTTTTCTTTTTTTATTCTTTAAAGAAATTTCTCATTTGAAAATAAGAAATGTAAATCTGAAGTGACTTTTAAGTGAATTTTTCCTTCTTTTTCTTTTTTTTAG